TCGTAATCTACTCTATACGGGAACATGCAAACATTTGCATTTGAAACGCGGCAGGCAGGCGGCACTCACTAACTATGAAAAGTATGCTAAAAATTTAAGTCGCGTGGGCGGCACGCAGCACTAGGCGCATATTCTGCGGCTGTTTATTGGCCACGTTTAATGAAGTTATTACAAAATACCGCACATTATTGTTGTAAGTAGTCCACACGGTCTGCATTAAATTGTATTTCCGTGTTTTTTTGCGCAGTCATACCAACAACCATATGGCATTACTTTTAATTGTATTTGATATTGATTATTATAATGTTATCGTTAATTATAAGCACAAGCTTTGGCATTTAACTTTACACTCAATATCCTGCATTGTGAGCGCTCTTGCGCACATTTTTCAGAGTCTACCACAATTTATTTTTCACATTTACTGCATTTTCTGCATTTTCCGAATGTGCGAACACTTCCAGCTTTAAATAATCAACTGAAGCATGAAGGCGACTTAACCATGATACTACTCATCAGTTCGAAAGTTCAACGCAAGTAAAGTTTTGTTTTGTAGTTTGACAACATGCTGTCGGATATTTCTTCATTAATCAATTAATTCGAACTTAAATTGAAATACTTTTTATTGCCTTTTCACTGACTTGCTGAATGAAAAGATAGAATCAATTGAAATGTGGAAAAGTCTGGAAATTGTACACCCACCGATTAATTTAGATGTGAAGCAGATTCTCGTATAAGCCATATTTTAAAAGCAGAAGATTATAATGAACTGTGCATCCCAATTGTTAAGCTGAATAGCTTGCTCCCATTTTCGTAGATGGACTGAATAGGAAACTATTGAAATTATTAACTAATACTATGAATAAACTATTACTGGATGGCAAAAACTATCGCAGCAGTATCAACAATTTGAAGTGCCAACGGCAATATGCGCAGCACGCATATAGTATATATACTATATCAGTATGTACTTTATCTTTGTATGTTTGTAGGTAGCTTTGCAAACAACCAAGATTAAAACAATTTCTGCACTTTCTTCAATAAGCAATTCGCTCGGCTACGAAATGAAAAATGCGCCATTGAGTGGGCAATGCGGACAACGTCGAACCGTAATCGGCAGTCCAACTCAACGTTGAATTCGCGAGCTTGACCTGTTTCGAGGTCACAGGCTGATTGGAACTGCAACGCCAAAAGCAGCAGAAGTAGCAGCAGCCGCGTCAACAACAACAACAACAATAAAGCCAGTCCTAAAGCCCAAAACCAACAGATGGAAACAACAAAAGTAGCAGAGCTGCCAAAACTGCATGTTCTGCGATTACATCTGCCCGTATATAAGTATAGTCGTGTGTATACACTACGTATGTGTGTGTGTGTGTGTGTTATGTGTGGCGCTGTGAATGAGAGAATATGTATTGTACATATATATTTATATATATATTTATTTATTTATGCACACACACACACACACATATATATATTCTGAATTCCCATAGTCTATCTGGTAGCCTATAAAACATCCGGGGAAAAAATTAAATAAAATAAAAATATGGAAACTTCCTTTTCGGCTCGCTGTAAGGCGCCTTTCGAGCGAACATTTTGTTTGACAATGGGCTTGAAATGTGGATGTTGGACCTTGGACGCTGGTTGGGCGGTTGCTGCAGTTGTGAGTCTCGTGCCAAATTATGAAACGAACTGTTTGCAAATGAAGCAATAATTTCACAATTGTTATAGTTGTTGCAATAGTCGTTGGTTTTTTAACGCAAGCCCTGCAGTTTCTATGTACAAAAGCACTGACCATGGAACTACTAGTACGCGGTAGATCTCGAGACTTCGAGTGGTACGTTAAAATGTTAATTTGTCGCTGGGTGGCCGATATATCCCTAAACGTAATGTTGCTATTCTCGGCTTTTACATAAGATATACTCGTTTGTAATATAAAAAAAAGGATGCGACCCACATTGGCAATATAGTCGAAAACACCAAAAACCTGCCCAATATTCCAATTTCTGCCCAATTTCTTAAAAAAGTAGTTATTATTAGAACTTTGTTATTGCAGCAGTAGCATATATTGACTCAATTCGATGGCTTTTTTTATTTTACTATTTGTGTGCAAGAATAAGGACCTCATTTTATATAGAAGGAAACAACAGTTAGACATGACTGTATCATGACGACACAGAAAAAATTATTTGACTATTGCAAAAAGATGCTGCATTCCTTGCCAAACTTCAAAAAGTGAGAAGTGGACTGAAGTGTGTTGTCTTTTTATTTGTGTTTTGCTGGTGTTGATGATCCCAAAATGATTTTCTTTATCGCAGGATTTACGATCAATAGGTTTCCTGTCTCTAATGTAAAATTTGTAATCATCTAGTTTCCCTGCCTTTAATGTAAATTTTTGAAGCTGACAACACTATAGAGTTGCAGTGAAGGCTGCAATTAATTATACTCTGTACATGAAATGTACAAGAGTATATTAGGTTTGCGCGAGCTGAAAAATGTAACAGGCAGAAGGAGGCGTGGCAGACCCCACAAAGTATATATATTCTTGATCAGCATGATGAGACGAGTCGATCTAGCCCTGTCTGTCTGTCTGTCTGTCCGTCTGTCCGTCCGTATGAACACCTGGATCTCAGAGACTATAAGAGCTAGAGACACCAAATTTTGCACAAAGATACCTTATGTGTGTACGCTATACGAGTTTGTTTTATTTTTTTGATTTTCCCCCCACTTCCCCCCTATGGGGGTTTTTCCGTAACGCCGTTCGTATAATCGCCTATATCTCGGAGACTATAAGACCTAGGGATAACAAATTTAAAGTCCAAGATGCCTTATGTGAATACGCAGAAAATGTGTTTTTTGGAATTTCCCTCCCTCCCTACTCTCCTCCGCAAATCGAGATTTTCTCTAACTCCCGTAATTCTTTGAAACTAAAATTTTGCAAATACCCCCAGTTAGTTATTATGTGTCCGAATGCCGTATGTTTCACTATGATAGACCAATTTAACAAGAAGTTATAGCCATAAATATATTTGCTGCTGTGATGCCAAGTGATGCCCGCGGCTGTTGTTGATGTTGCTGTTTGGTTGACTGCTAACATGTTTACACAGACACGAATATACGAGCATAGGCATTCATACACTCACACAGACGCAATTGCTATGTAAATGTGCAATTATACACCCTTTACGTGAGTTCGAATACCGAAAGAGGTAAAATCGATCCAAATTTTTTTTATTTTTCTGATTTTTTTTAATTTCTATAATTATTTTAAACATATGTACAGAGTATTTCAAAGTCGGAACACTTGACTTGTTTTTTTTTTTTTTTTTTTTTGAATGCGTTAATTATAAAGAAATTATTGGCGTTCTATAATGCATGGAAATTTCTTAAAAAATGCAATGAACAAGTGATTGCGACCTTTTTGATGGCCATCATGTAAATATGCTATGAGGCCTAGGGCTGGCGGCCCGAACTACAGGGACAAATATTATGCAATGGGCCCAACGCCTGCCAGTCTGCGCATGTATGTGTGTGTGACTAACGTGATATTTGTGCCAAAAAGTAAAACAGTATACCACCATATTGTGCTCATTGTTTGCATTTTATGTTGCACACTGCAACTGCCGACGCCATTTTGCCAAACGAACGCACACACACACACACACACACATACAGAGCAACAAACACTCATTCACTCGCACACAAACTACAAAAACACTTGCTGCAGTGAGATTCGTTCGAGTGGGGTTCTCGTTACGCTCTTTTGGGCTGTCGTGCTGGCAGCCTCAATGTACTTTTCACTATTTATAGCATTAGTTTACAACAACGGAAAGTTTGCGACCGAAGCAGCAACCGACAACCAGCAACCAGCAGCCCTGGATCTCGATCCCAGCCCATTGCAACATTATCACCACCAACTTTATTGAAATAATAAATTTTGTGCACCAGCTGTCATTGTTGAAACTGTATGTTGGCTTCACTTTGCTGCCTACAGTGAACGTCACTTAACTTAAATACATTCGAGGGGTCTGCTGAGATCGAAACTTAAGCCGTGACCACCTGAGAGATCATGGAATCACTTCAACATCAGTTATATGTTGCTGACAAACAATAATTGGCCACGATTTTAATTCGTTTATTTATTCAAGTCTATAGTATTACAAAATATTTTAATATATAGTATTACTGCGTGAATATTATTCCTTAGCTATTGATATAAGATTGGTAGGTAAGGGAGAATTTAGTGATGTAGTTCCCATTTCCTAACTCGAATCATCTCTGTGGATGGACACTGATGGATTTTCTGTGCCGTAGAACGATTAAATTATTCGGTTTCAAAAGTCTTTGCTTTAGGCTGGGAGTTGAAGCCGTTTACTAATTTTGATTGATTCTGAAACGGAAACTCGCCTGATGGGCCCATTTTCCAGCAGTATTGTAATTTCTTTTAATCGAAACTGTCCTGTTGCCTGTTTGTAAATTGAAATGCATGCCTATGTTGAAGGAATGCATCTTAATTAAACGCTCGAAGCCTTTATTGAGTGTCGGCATTCGTAATGTTTTTTGTTTGTTTAATTTTTGCAAAGTTTTAAAACTTATAACTAAATGCATACCGAAACTTTTCCAGAAACTGCAAACATTTGCACTATCTATTCAAATCTAAGTGCAGGTCAGCAGCATGAGGTAACCAAGCTGGCATATTTATATTCTTCATGCAAATTTACACATATAGTCCGAGTAGAAGAAAGTAAAGTAAAACTTTCACGAAATCCAAATAATTTGATTTAGTTTCGTTTCGAGAGTACGATTTCCATTGTTACCTTTAACACAATAATGAATTAATTTGTTTTAAGCCAACAGATGCTCCATCAAGGGATCGGATCAGCAGCAACACTAACACTTTTGTAATCAGCCTTTCAGAATTACCCCGAGTTCTCCTGAACCGATACAACACCCACTAGGAGGTGTATTGAACACTTAGCTCTTAGATTATTTCTTTGACTCACCTCAACTGAGATCGTAAATAATGGTGCGTGCACCGGACCAGTCTGTGTTTCCAATTTATACACCAGGCCATGTCGCAACTCGTTCAACATGGCGACTGTGTTTTTGGGCTGTGGTATGCGTTCCTTCCCGGCTTTCTTCTTCGGTGGCACTACAGACAGCAATGATTCAACGGTTTCTGCTTTCCCAGAAAGTCTTTTTAACTTACCAGCAAATTTTGGCATTTCATAGCGCCGCTTCTGCGGGGTCTTCCTATTATACCCATTCATGTTGCCCTCGGTTTGTGCGGCCACCGGCTGTGCGTTTGAAGAAATCAAATGTGGAGGTTATTAGAAGAGTTGTTTGTGTGGACGGGACAGATAATCAAATTTTGTAATTTAATACTGATTGGCACATGAAGTATAAGAAGAGAGTTATAGATGACATACATATGTTTACGATTATTTAGAATAGACAGCTTAGATTAAATGCGAGGCGTCGCATAGCATTGTATTAAGTAAGTTAGTTAAGGTTTTAGTTTACAATACACACACATAGTAGGATCAAGAGATCTTGCTAAGACGGATAGAGAGAGAGAGAGAGAGACAGACAGAGAGATAGAGTGTTACACGACGAAGTGAGTTATTTGTTAACTTAGCAACTAGTTACATTAACTACAAACACATAGACAACATTCATATTTATATATTAATTTATAGATATTAATCAACTATTAGTAGTAGTTGCTCAATGTTAATTGTGGCGACCAAAACGTACGTATCCACATCCTTACAAACATTTTTCTACATGCTTGATTTGAACTGCCTCTGGAATCTAGAACTTCATTCGGATTTTTCCGTCCATTTTGATAATTTGATGAAAGCACTTATTACTTCGAAATGGAACCCGATTTCCATTTGATTAATTAAATACCAGGTCTTTCTCTCCATTACTGTTGTCATATTTCTTAATATTATAATAACACACAACATTGAGTGATGCTAGCAAATTGGTGATTGATTTTTTGTTCAGCTGTGAGCTTGTAATTCCGATAATTGGAATTAAACTTCAAGCAACTACGAAAAGAAAATGATAAAACTACTGGTATTAAGTATAAAGCATATAAGTATAAATAACCGATAAAAACTGTGTTACAACAACTACATAGGTTTACAGATATAAGCAAATATAAATAAATACATAGTCTAGTCTGTTTTCAATTTTGTTGTAATTCAAATGATAAACCGGGTGATATTCCACCGATATTCAAAGACGTTATTAGAAAACAATGAAGGGAAACATGAAGGAATTGAATTTTAATTGAATTAAATTATTTGTAATTGCATTAACTCTTCCAATCAAGAAAATTGAATGTTTTGCGGAAACGATAAAAGCGCTCTTCCTTTAATTGCATTTTATTTTTAAAATTGTTTACAAAATTTGTTCAAGTATTATTAGCTACGAAGTTTACGTAGAACGGTATTTAGAAAATGTTTCGTAAAAATTGAACAATGAATTATGTTATTGACTTTATTTAGATTTTCATGCATTCTAAAATACAGACAAAACTCAAACGTTTGCAGAATATCGATTAATAGTTCATTTATGATAAGCTTTGTACATATCGAATACGCTATATATATGTATAATATTTTTATATAAATTCAAATTAAAATGTTTCAAATAAAGGTAAATAAAAAAGGTAAATAAAACAAAAAACACACTATAATTTTATAAATATAATGCCGAATTTTGTACAGCTTTGAACACAACTTAGTAACACTACAGTGTACGATTATAGCCAGTCCAAAACAGATTTCAATTCGATTCCGATTCAGAAATGCCTATACTTGTTGGTATTTCAAATCAAATTTTCCTCGTAGAGAAAGACACCCTCCAGTCCCTGAATGTATATTTTAAATGTATATACTGTTGGGAAATTGCAACGACTGCATAATTTGGCAACGAAATGTGGCTGCGCTGATAGCCCTCCCCTCGGGGGAAGGGGGTTCCCCCTATACTTCCCCCTATACCCAACCTTGAAATGATGAGACGATAGCTGTAAGAGTCTGGATACTACGATAGCAGAGAATTCATTAGTCCGCGCCTGCCAGCTTGCTAAGCTCAAACATTTTATGGACCCAGTTAAGAAGAGGCAGCAGCAACGGCAGCATCAGTCACTGGCAATCCACTGGCATTAAATTCAATTTTAAGTCAGTCTAAGCCCATAGTAGACTGAACCGACAGAATGAGCCATCCACCAACGAAATGAGACAAAAATTCAAGAGCGCACAAGGCCGATGCGTGAAGTGGGCAGAAGCTTCAGGTGGGGTGGAGGAGGGGGGTGGTTGCACGGAATGGAATGAGTGAGGAGGGAGGCGGTTGCGGTTTCTGTTGCTAGTGCTGCGGCGACACCATTAAGTGCTAAGCAAGCCAACTCAATGCCGCAGCATTTAGTTAACATAATTTTCGTGCAATGCAACAATTTCCATTTTCCCACTGACAACAACTAAGCAAACAGAGTCGCCCACAAAAAAAAAAAAAGAAAACCAGCACGAAAAAAATTGCGAATGGTAGCGTGAAGGAATTTTAAAATGAACAAAAAAAAAAACTTTATGCAAGAGGAGGATATACTAGAGCTGCTAAATATGACGACTCATTTAAGTCCTTAAGAGGCTGTCGACAAACTTATTAACATTCAGGCGAAGATATTGGCAACTGATATGTTGATTTCTTTTTCTAAAACACAGCATTGTCATCGCCACTCTAGCACTGCAGCTTAAACAACTATCTTAATAATACAAATGGCATATGGAGTTGGTTGAAATAGTGCAAAGTTTTGTACAACTCTAATATCTAGTGTCTACTTGTGACTCATATTTAGATTCTATGTATATCCACAAATACAACAGCAGCTGTTATGGCTTGTCAAAGTACTGTTGCAGTGTACTGTACAACATGCATGCAGTCGTCGTCCCTGTGCAAAAGGCAAAACCAACTAAAGCATTTAGCCATTGCACGTTTTGTTGTGGCACGAATTTTGATGGGGAAACTTTAAGAGTGCCCAGACATGGTCCCCATCCCCCACTTCCCGTTCCTCGTATTAGTTTTGCAAATTTTAACTTTTTTGCCGTGCGCGTTATGATTTAACTTGTGTTCAACTCGTTGGGCTCGTTGGTTGTAGTTGTTCTTGTTGTTTTAATTACCAACCACCGACCAACCGAACAACCGTCCGTCCAAACGTCCAACCATCCTTCCGTCCTTCACTCATTCGTCCGTCAGTTAAACAAACATGGTGGCTACTGCGGCCTGCCGCTGCAATTGCTGTTGGCGGTGATGTGCGTGTGTATGTGTATCTGTGTGTGTGTCTTGTCGACTTTGATTAGCTGGTATGTGTGTGTGTGTGTGCTTAGGTTCATAGTAATGTCCTCCCAACTGCTTTTTATACCCTACACTCGAAGGGCGGTAACAGGAAAGAGAAGAAGGAGGACGATTCGATATCAACCTCCAGAGATCTCGAACCCTAACTTGCACGGCAAGCTAATAACAACTAGCATGTATTTGTATGTCTCGTCAGTTTAACTTAAAAACTATTAAGTCATTAATTTTAATATCGTATTTAGTTGAAGGACCAAAAGGAATGGACACAGAGTATACAAGAGTCGCTCAGCAAGGACTTTAAGCTGCAATTTCCTAATATTACGAATACCACGCGTCGGCTCCGGCATGATTATTGTATTTTTATGCATATTGCCAAGGCGCTTGTTCATTTTCCATTTTTGCAACTGCAATTTGCGTTCATTACACAAATGACACTTGCAACGTGAGAGACAAAAAGTGAAGTGCCCGCAACAAGAAGTGGAGCAGCCGAACATGTAAAAGGGGAAAGGGAAAAGCATCGCTGAAATTCGCGTCACTGACGCTCAAAAGTTGCAACTGAAAAGTTTCTTGATACTGTGCCAAAAAAAAAAAAAAAAAAAAAAAAAAAAATAAGAACAGAAAACACAGAAAAGAAAGGGGGAAAATGCGCTTTTTGAAGAGGCACGTTGACGAATGCACAGTTTGTGTTTGTGTTCGTGTTTGTCTTGGTATGGTTGTTGTTTGGCTCAGCTCGACTTCAGTTGTCCTAGCTTGGCGACTGACTACCAAACACCGACGACAGACAGTCTGGTTACACACATACGACTACTATACGAATAAATGCACCAGACCAGTACCCGCATCCACCCGTTAAAAAACAAGAAGAAAAAAAAAACGTATAAACTATCCAAGAAATGTGTTGGCAGTCAGACAGTCAGCTTTTTTAATTTTGATTTGTGCCATGTGCTTCTCAAGCCTCCCCTTGGGTTTGCGCTCGCCCACAACTTGAACAACAACTTCAGAACTCTTCCACGACAAGTTATTTGCTGAGCCATTCATATTATAGCTTTTTCGCCAGCGAGTTGGTTAATTTGTTAGTTTTGTTTTGTTTTGCTTCAAATGTGTTTCTTAACGCCTTTTTGCATTTGCATTGAAAACAAATTTATAACTTCATTTAAATACTTAAGCACACTTTAATTGCACAGCAACCCACTTTACCGCTCGTATCCTTATCTTCTGACGCGTCACAAATACCGGAAAAGTGGGAGACCGTTGAAAGTTGGACGGATGTCTGTTTTGAGTGCCTTTTAAAAAGCTATGAAACCAGTGGAAATGACAGCACGTGGTGGGAAAATGCAAACAACATTAGGGTTCAAAACTAAAATGCTAGTAGCTTGGCGATAAAAAATTACCGAGGAGAGAGTGGAGACTAAATGCATGATTTCACTACAAATTTCATTTGCACTCTTTACCCGAAATAGTAAAAGATGGATAATGCCATTAGCTCCAACATCACATCAGCCATTCGACATTTGAAATATGGTAGCTCTTAAGTCAGCCGATTTGGTTTCCATACTTTAAAATGCTCGAACTGTTCTTGGCAGGATCTTTGGAGCAGCTATTTGTCCAGTTCCTTTATATTTATGTAAGATGGCAAGGATAGTGACAATGGCGGAACACTTAGAAGCAGCATCGCCAGCAGTACTCGGTATTCATTTTGGTTTTAAGCAGTCAGTAGAAATGTACTTAGTTGTCAGTAGTAAGTTGTCAGCCGCACTACAAACACAGTCGTCAGCCGTAAAGAAAGAAGCAGAAGTCAGCAGTCAGCAGTCAGAAGAAGAAGCAGAGAGAAGCCGTCAGAGAAGTCAGCCGTCGAGTCAGAGTGCATTAGCTGCATACATATGCTAATATTCGCCATCATCATTTTACATTATATTCCTATTTCAAACTATATCAT